ATTCGATACGTATACTTGCGTGGTAGAATTTTAACTGACATATAGTAGCAATAGTATTAGATTTTTGTTGATCTAACAAACAATCAAACCATAATGCTTCAATTCCTAAAAAAGAAAAGAAAAGAAGAAACGATATATTTAAGATTAAAATATTTTTTTTGTGAAAAAGAGAAAAAACTTTAAATAGTATTTGAATATAGTTTTGAATTTTGCATTTTCTTTTTCTCTTAATCTTTGTAGAACAAAAAAATTTTAGATTTTAATATTCTTTTGTTCGGTTTTTTGTTTTTTTAGTAGAGTTTGTAGAGAAAGGTAAAAAAGAGAGATCGAGATTTACATTGAAGAATGATCATTTGTAAAAAAAAAAAAAAGAAGAAGATGGACATTGATTGAGAAAAAAGTATTTTTTAAAAAATTGATACGTTTTAAAAAAAGAAGAAAAATAAACCTCCTCTTTGGAGTTTTTTATTTAACTTTTTTAAAAAAATTTTAATTTTAAAAAAATTTTAAAAATTTAATTTAATTTAACTTTTACTTTTAAAAAATACACAAACTCAAATAAAACCAAACAACGACTAAATACTTTTTAACCCTTTTTAAGTGGTAAACATAGCAATTATTTAGCATTCACATCCAAAATGATTCCAACTTAACACATCTTTCCGGATTCTTTATCGTTTCTATTCCTAAGAACTTCTTCGCGACAAGGCCATCAACGCATTTCCAAGTTCCGACCATGGTGGTCCCAACCACTGGATCTGTCAGATCCAATTGAATGTCGACCCGGTTAAAGTCACTGGAGCTGTCACTGAATGACAAGTGGCAAACTCCTACATCCTTCATTTCTCCTCCCAAAATAAATCATACTATTAAGTCTGAAACTTACTATAGCCAATATAAACAAACTATGAGTGGAAAACCCGCGTTACTCATACAAAAACAATTATAGCTGTCGAAAATATTTATTGGGCATTAAAATGCTATATTGATAAAAATTTTCAAATCTTGTGCTAAGTTTGTGATGGCTGAGTTCACTCAAGAACTGCAAAGTCTGAAGCAATTTTCTTTCTCATCAGAAACGAACACAAACTTGCAGCTAATTAACAGCCGGAGGGCACTGAAGAATCATGACTCATCTGATAATCATGCCCAACTCATGGCTCTCTCCAATTCTATCCTCTTTCATACTCAGCCACCCCAGATTTCGTTCAACTTCACAGGTAATAACTTTAATATTAATATTAAAGTTAGCGTCCATAGCTTTTGCTCTATATCTTCTTGGTGAAATCATTGAGCACCAGAGTTTTCTGGTTTTCTTTAGTAGTTTTGCCAGTTAATAATCGTTGGGATTGGCAGGTAATTTAGTACGTGAAAGCAAGAATGACAATACGATGCCTATAGCTGAGAGCCCTCTGGATTTGTCTACATCTCCAGGTTCTGTAACCGGATCGAGTGGAAATAATAAGGTAATTATACAAGGGATGATGATTTATCGATTCTGTTTTTCCTGCGTATTTGAGAATACTGTGGTATATTTATGATTCGGAAGGCTTTTTTATGTATAAAGAAGATTAAATGGCTTTGTTCTGCTTTGATACTGGAATATGATAGAGCTATGTTGCACGAAAGAGAAAGAGAAACGGTGAGGAGGATATGCAGAAGCCCAAGGAAGTTGTTCATGTGAGAGCGAAAAGAGGTCAAGCCACTGATAGTCACAGTTTGGCGGAAAGGGTATTCTGTTTTTCCTTTTCTTTTCGACTGCACGTACCATGAATCAAATTTAAAAGGCAAAAATGTTGTCATCGTGGCATATTTTTCTGTCAGAAGATGGAACAAATCTGCTAATCTTTATTTGTTTTGGTTGTCGGTTTTCTTAAACCGCATGCATCTGAAGAAAAGATAAATTCTTTGTTGTGTATCCTTTTGCTTCCAGGTAAGAAGAGAGAAGATTAACGAGAAGCTGAGATGCTTACAGGACTTGGTTCCAGGATGTTATAAAGTAAGAAAGAGTCTCGTGTTTCGTTTTCTTTCATTTACTTACGAAACAAGAACAATGAACATTACTTTCGATGTGCAGGCAATGGGAATGGCATTGATGTTGGACGTAATTATCAGCTATGTTCAATCACTTCAGAATCAAATTGACGTGAGTTGTTTTACCCATTATATACATTAATTAAGAAAGTTCACCAAAATTCACAACACTGACAAAACTCAATTATCAAGATCATTCGGTTTGGTAACACATGTTTCCTCTGTTTTGTTTCTTTTTCCATGATTTCTTTCCTTCCTAGTTCCTCTCCATGAAGCTCTCAGCAGCTAGCATGTACTATGATCTCAACTTCTCAGAGATTGAAGTGATGGAAACACTGCAGGTAGCCTTCTTCAATTCACCTTTATCTTTTGTCTTGATGTGTTTTAATTCGTTGAAAAATAATGTTTACGAGCATGTGCCCTTTATATTTCCAAAACTGAGAAAACAATGTGGAATGGGGTATTTGTTGCAGGGAACAAAAGCAAATGCATATGATCAGGTACAAGAGATGGAAAGGATGATGAGGGAAGGGCATGGAGGATCTTCTTACTTTAACTCAGCAAGGCCTCTTTAATTGAAATCCTAGACCTTAGGCCTTGGGGATAAATTAGCTCTCTTCACGCTTAATCATTATAAACTGCGTATGAGCAAAAACTATATACTTTCGCACCTCATATCCATGCTCAGTACTGTAGAAAAAAAATACACATTAAAAATGAAAAAAAATGATCTGATATTTACATAGTGTTGCATCTTTTTTTCCTTCAATAATTAATGTATGATTTCACAGCTTTGCTGGATTAGTTTCTTCACAATCATTGATAGATCAAAGTGCGGATGTTGAAGATATTGTAGTTTCATTGAACGAAAGACACACATTAGCCTATACTTTTCATCAAAAACATGTTGAATGAAAGTGATAACAACAGAAAATGACAGGCATGGCTACTGGGTCTCACAAAGTGATCCATATAAACAAACCAAAGTGATAGAGTTGCAAAGTATGTAGCCATTATGGGTGGTTGAGAAGAGGTTGTTGAGGAAGTTGTAAGGCAGTTTGCATCATGTAATGGGATTGGGGAGGACAAATACTTATTATTACCAATTTGAGGAAATTATGAATTTAAAATTAACTATCAAAATAAATTTAATTGTTTTACCCAAAATTAGTCATGAGATAACAAAAATGCCTTTAAAACTATTTTAAACAAATTAAATGCTCTCAATTTTTCTCTCCTCCATTCATCTATTGTACTCCCCATTCTGTTGTGCTTTCTATTTTTCTCCCTCATTATCCAGCTCTCTCTAATTTTACCACAATTATCTTTTTCTATCTCTTGTTATCTTGCCAAATCGTCGTCGATTTACAGACCAAAGAGTATAATATGAAAAGTAATAATATATTTTTAGATTTATTAGTTTACATTCACAAAACCCTCTACCGTCGATTTACAGACAAAAAAGCATGGCATAGTGAGTAACAACAGGTTTTTTGGGTTTATTAGTGTTAAGTTTTTCAACGATTCAAGTGTAGTAGAATATGTCTTAACATGTAACAAAGTTATTCATGCCTTGGCATGTAACATTAGTAGGAAGAAGGAAGCTTTGGTGCATAATATCTGGTGTTGAAGCTTTGATCTTGAGATGTAACATTTAGTACTAAAGCTTTAACCTTAGTGTGCAACATCTTCTACTTTGGCTTTGGTGCTCTGGCTTTGACGTGTAATATCTAGTATTGAAGCTTTGACCTTAGCATGCAATATTTGCTGCTAAAGTTTTGGTGTGTAACATCTTTTGCTTTGGCTATGGCGTATAATATCTGGTGATGAAGCTTTGGTCTTGGCGTATAACATTTGGCATTGAAGCTTTGAACTTAGCATGTAACATTTGCTACTGAAGTTTTGGTGTGTAACATCTTCTGCTGAAGCATATAACATCTATTTAAGCTTGTAGTATCATTTTGTCTTTCTTTTTTGTTATTAAATATAGCATGTAACTTGCTCCTTTATATTTCACTATAATATAAACTCTTGAAATTAAAAAATGTAACAACTTGTTTTTTACTATAACAATATTTTTTTTAAACATAGCATGTAATAATAACATTTTTTAAACATAGCACGTAACTTGTTCTCTATCTTTTTATTTCACTGGAACATAAACTCTTAAAGTTAAAAACTTTCACCATAAAGATAAAAGTTTAAAATCAAAAAGGAATTGACATCAAAATGAATATGTATTGAAATATTATTCAATTGGGATGAAATGTATTTGGACAAAAAGAAATTATCCAAAATCCTCAAATTTGGATAATTAGGTTTTTAGTTATTTTATTTTTTTTGGCAAAAGAAAATTAAAATATATTGGTATTATAAAGAAAAGAGTGAAGATCGAATCAATCAAAGCAAAATTCAAAATTAGCAAATTGAAACTTAATTTTGCTAATGTTAATACACTTTTCAAGCCTCCCTACGAACAAAGTAAAACTTGCCCATGACATAATGGCAACAAAAGCAATGAAACCAATGCTCATGACAAGCATGACATTTAGGAAAATCTTGAGCTCTAGTCCATCATTTGTGTAAAACTGATGCATAGTCTCAACAACCCATTCGGATGTCGCATCGCTTGTCATTTTTCTCCTCCTCATGCTTGTTGTTGCAATTGCACTTCCTCTTAGTGGAGCTACTCCAATTGTCATTTTTTAGTCAACGCAAATTTCAAATCATGTAATTTGAATATATAAAGATTTCATTAAAGGTAATTTTATCTAAAAATTTTTACTTTTAGTTAAAAATAATTAAAATTAAAAAGATAATTATTTTTATTTTTAGGAGTAAAAACAAAATCGTCCCTCACAATTTTGAGGAGACATCGTAGCAATAAGAGCCTTTTTCCACCATATTTCATTTTCGATTGTACTTTCATAGATGATCAAATAAGGATGTTTCCATTATTGGCATCTTAGTTTAACGGTTGAAGCAATCATTTTCAATAGTACTTTTAATCTCAATGAATGCTAACTAATCAGTTGTAGCATTTTCAATATGCAATCATTATCATCTAACAAATATCCTTTTTGTTTATTTTTTACCAAGGCAATAAAAAATAAATTATGTAATCTTCCCATGGCTTTCCTCTCCAATCAAACATGAACCCCAATAACAAAAAGAGTTTACATAATATTAAATTTATCTTTATAATTTTTTTTTTGGAATGGAGTCATAAAATTTCATGTTCACTGCTTTTTTTTCCTCTATACTCTAATTAATATATAATTCATCTAATTATGTATGAAATAATTAAGAACAACAAGTACCAATTAAGGAAAAACCATAACATAAAAATTTTTTATTATTTAATCTGAGCATTATGATTTTTCAGCGGATAACAAGTCATTTATAAAGTGCAATTAATTTCATATTTATAATTCTATAACATGTTAAGAAGCTTAATTTTTATAATTATTTTTACACAAGTTTAAGTCAAGAAATGTAAAATTGGAGTAGCAAGATATAAAAAATTGATGTGATAACCATTCCCATTTCAGAAATTTGAATTGCTAAGAAAATAACTTGTTCAAAGTACTAAAATAAACTACAGTAAAATTTGAATTGAAATTGAATCTTGGAAATGTTTGAGGTTACACTTGGATTGTTGTTTACCTAAGAAAAATAGGTTGTTTAAAATTACTAAAAGAGAAAAATTAATAATTTTACAAGTAATTGAATCAAAAATAAAAAATATTTAACATAGCTAAACATTGTTATTGGTAACATACATGTTTAATTCTAAGAATTATGTAACTATAACTCTTCTGACTTAACAATAAATTTTATAACATTCAATATAAAAACTTGAAACTAATTTTGGGGGGCGACATTATAATATTTAATTTATGCAAAATGAAATTACACAAACTTATAAAGGGTATTTAAAAAATTTTACAAACTTCGAGGCATGACTGCCCCCCCGTGCCTCCCTAGTTTCATGCTTTTAGATCTAAAACTCTCTCTTTTTTCGAGGCACGACTGCCCCATCGTGCCTCCCTAGTTTCGTGCTTTTGGATCTAAAACTCTCTCTTTTTTCTTTCTTTTATTTACAGAAAGGAGTCAAAAACCCAACCTAACTATATATTATACTAGGATTCTATACTTTTTTTTCTATTGTTTCTCCTCCATAACAGCCACCATTATCAAGCTTTTACAACAAAATTCCCCTAGTACATCTATCCCTACCTTTTTATCTCTTTCTTTTTTCATTTTCCACCTCCTCAATCTTGGTTTTCTTTTTCTTCCCTTCATATTCAAACTAGTTTCTAGCTACTATTTCATCAAGGACTAGAGGTGGCAATTAGGCAAGTCATTTTTGAATTTGGTGTTGGTATGTGCCTCAGAGTCAATTGGATTGATTAAGGGATGTGTTGTCCTTTAATACATACTTAATCACATAACATTATGTGATATAGGTTTTTCTTTTTATTAGTACAATAATAAGGAGTTATTAAGTACTAATTTGATGAAGTTCATGAAATATAAAAGCCTTGTAAGAGAATTGTAAAGTTGTTACAATTGTGAGATCTCTATGCATTAAAGCCATATTCTTAAAATAGCTCTTGGTAATTTTATTGTCCAGACAGGGCATTAACAATGCTTAAAGACTGATATATGCTAAGCCTTATTACTTGAGAAGTAAGCAATTGATCTCATAAATTGAAGTATATAAGATACTTGAGGATGACATGTGAGTGCTTGTTAGAGAACAAGTTCACTGAACAAGATAGGGCATTAACAATGCTTAAAGACTGGTACATGTTAAGCTTTCTTACTTGATAAGTAAGCAATTGATCTCATAGATTGAAGTATATATGACACTTGAGGATGGCATGTGAGTGCTTGTTAGAGAAGTTCACTGAACATACCTCATTATGAGAATTCCATTTGGTATTCACTTAGTTATCTTATTTTCTCATATGATAGCTGTGCAACTAGTCCTTGGAATTGAGACACCAAGTCATCTTGCATGGGGAATGACATACTTTGATTTTACCCTTACGGGTCTTGAGGCGAATAGATGCCTAAACATGGTGTTTTTGGGTGTGCCATAGAACACGCAAAGGTGGATGAGTTTTCAAGAGAGAATTCATCAACCTAAGTGATATGAGGGGATGTATCACACTTGTTTTCAATTCTAGATTAAGTTGTATAAAGTTTTTGGCCAAAGCATGATGAATTTGAGGGAAGTTGATTTCCTAAATTCATAAAGTTACTCATGAATTGTGAGAATTAATATGGAATGTCAGAAGTAGACACTAAGCCATGCTTTTCAACATATTCGGATATTGGATGAAAAGACCATATTGCACTGAGAGGTTTATTATTGAAGGGCTTGTCAAATTCTTTAATTGACTCTTTAATATTTGAATGGTCATGATGTGTTGCTAGATACTGCTCATGATATATAAATATAAATTAATTATTAAATTGATATTTGATTATGATTTATATTTATTGCCTATATGTTAGAAGCCTAATGGGTCACACACATTAAGTGACATGATTGAGATTAAATAAGGATAATTAATTAAGTTGAACTTAATTAAAATAGACCCAAATAAAGTGAAAAAATTAATTAAGTTCAGAAGAACTTAATTGAATAAAAATACAAATGTTGTATCTAAGGTTACAACTTAGTTTGGCTATATAAATTTGTTATGTTAGCCAACTAAAACTCTAAGCCTTAAGTCACTTCTTAGCTGATTCATAAAAAATAAGAAAAAAGAATTAAGTTTTATTTGTTTGACAACAATAGGGTTTGGCTAGGATTTTTTATCTTCTGGTTTTTCTGAAAA